AGGACATCTAACAAGTTACAGACCGGTATCTCTTCTTCCATTTGTCACGAAATAATTGAACGAGGTGTTTTCAACCAGATCTCCTTTCTTACACAGAACAACCTCTTGGACAAAAGTCAGTCTGGTTTCAAAAGCGGACACTCAACTGAGACTGTCCTGCCTCTCGTTACTGAAGATCTAAGACTGGCAAGAGCAGCTTCCAAATCCTCAGTCCTCATCCTGCTGGATCTGTCTGCTGCTTTTGACACAGTTAAACACCAGATCCTCCTGTCAATCCTAAAGATGAAGGGTATCTCGGGAACTGCTCTCCAATGGTTCGAGTATTACCTCTCAGGTAGGTCCTTTAGGGTGACGTGGAGAGGTGTGGCATCTAAGATCCTACATCTAGCTACTGGGGTGCCTCAGGGCTCAGTGCTTGGACCACTCCTCTTCTCCATCTACATGACATCACTAGGATCTGAAACATGGCTTTTCCTATCATTGCTACGCTGATGACATGCAACTATATCTCTCATTCCAGCCTGACGATCCGATGGGAGCTGCTCGTATCTCAGCCTGCCTGACAGACATTTATGGCTGGATGAAGGTCCACCACCTTCAACTAAACTTTGCGAAGACAGAGCTACTTGTGATCCCGGCCGACCCAACAATTCATCACAACTTCTCCATTCAACTAGGCTCATCAGCCATTACTCCATCAAGGTCAGCTAGGAACCTTGGGGTTGTAATTGATGATCAATTGAACTTCACAGACCACATTGCTAGAACTGCCCGGTCCTGCAGATTTGCCTTGCACAACATTAGGAGGATCAGGCCTTCCTTACAGAGCACTCTACACAACAACCGAGGATTTGGAAGCTGCTCTTGCCAGTCTCAGAGCTTCAGTAACCGAGAGCAGGGAGTGTCCGCTTTTTGAAACCAGACTGATTTTTGTCCAAGCACTTGTTCTATCCAGACTGGACTATTGTAATGCTCTCCTGGCTGGTCTTCCAGTTTGCTCTGTCAAACCTCTACAATTAATCCAGAATGCTGCAGCCAGAGTGGTCTTTAATGAGCCAAAGAGAGCACACGTCACTCCTCTCCTCACAAAAATGACACTGGTTGCCAGTTGCCGCTTGCATTAAACTCAAGGCACTGATGTTTACCAACAGAACAACCACTGGCACTGCTCCCATCTTTACCATGACTGTTCCCTACTGGTGGAAAAAAACTCTGCCTTACTCAACCAGAGCTTATGAGTCAATAGGCACTTTCAAGAACTGCTGAAGACGTATCTTTTTCAGCAGCACTTGATTTAGTAGTACTAACACTTTCTCTTCTCTTCTTTACTAATAAAAACTGCACTAAAATTAAACAGAGGGTTTATGGCACTTACGTATTGTTGTCCTACTGTTAGTTTAACTGCTTCTATTGTTCTCATTTGCAAGTCACTTTGGATAAAAGTATAATAGTCTCGATAAGTCGATCCCCGAACGCTGTTCATACAGTTCAGAAGTTCGCTGAACATCATACAGTTCAGATCCCTCAGCACGTCGTTCGTGGTTTGACTTGTCGTGACGGTTTTCCAAAGATGGCGCTGCCTGTATACACGTCTTTATAAAGTATGTTCTTATTAATCTCAGAGAACGGTTGACTAGGTACCGATGTTTTAGTAGACCAAAGGTACATTTTGCACCGGAGTTCTCCTTTAAGGTGCCGATTAGGGCAGCGGGGACAGACCCTGACCCTGGTCCAAATCCTGGTCGTACCAGCGTACCAGGCCAACAGGAGGTTGGCCTGGTATGCTTATAACACAAACATCTTGTGTATACCCGACCTGCTGCCACCTCTGCCCTGCCATTCAAGCGAGATGTCTTCTGAAGTGGATTAGAAGGCAGGGCCGGAGCCTCTCCAGCAACAAGACGTCAATTGAGGGCATCGACACATACCCGTGTTCATGCATCCCTCAACATCAGTAGAGGTTCTTTCGTGCCTTCTTGATCTCAGTGTAGATCAGGAAGGACTGGAAGCCTCGCGGTAGATGGGGAATTATGGTCCGAAAGGAACCGTTCGTCAAACCTGCCATAAAAAGCCTTTCCTCACGCACTCCCACGGCAGCTAAAGTCTCGCTGAAGAGCGCTCCATGACACTCAACAACTCATTACAGACGGGGCAGGGAGGCTGTGAGGGTTCAGGCTGTACATCATCTTCAACCATCTCCTGCTCTCTTGGACTGCTGGAAGATGATGTGTTTTCACTTACAATCACTCTCACAAGCCTCTGAAGGGCAGGAGAGAGGACATTCTGCCATAGACTGTAAAAACAGATGACGCCCCTTCACTCTTTTCCATCAGAAGCCTCTTTCACACAGCTAGTTGATCCCGGGAAATTGCTGGCAAATTGCCAGAACGCCTTCTGTGTGAACGCAAACACGACCTGGGATTGATTCTGGGATTGATCCCGGGTTTGGGACCTAGTAACATTGCCGGAATCAGTCCCGGAATGCGCGCTGTGTGAACAAAAGCCAGGACCACCGCCGTAAAGGGTGTGTCATAGTGATGACGCTCGTGCCATCGCGCATCTCTGTTGCTCTAGAAGAAAGTTTGTGTTCGCCATCAACAAAGAAAGGACGAACAAATACCTGCAAACTGGAGTGAAGCAGAGACCAGGAGCTCCTCACTATCCGTACTGAAGCTGAGATCGTTCACCAGCGCGTGTACGGTATGCGCGTTTACATGTTTTCGACGCGTCCGTTATACGTCTCATCCTGACGTCATGCGTCTTCCCGGGATTTTTACGGGTTGTGTGTGAACGCACTCACAGATCCCGGCAAATCACTGGCAGTGTGAATGAACCGAAATCAAACAATTCTGGGACAAATGCTGGGTCACATTATCCGTGTATTTTCTGGAATCTCTGTGTGAAAGGGGCTAGAGAGAACTGAAGCCGCCAGTGTCCCGATATGGAGCAGACATCTTGGAACTTGAGTCTGCGCACTTGCGTTTTCGGGACCAGACATGCGCAGGAAGTAAAGCCGCGCCCTCATTCTAGCTGAATCAAACGCAAGCACAAGCCCCGCACTTATATTAAGTGGCCTCTGTCTGCTCCGTTCTTCTCCAATGATGTCTGCTGATTGCAGTGCCTCGTTAAAATAAGGTAAATACTACTACTAACCACAAAGTCAACATTATGAAAAAAGTCTGTTGGTGCTTCAGTGAATACTTTGAACAGAGATATATTGTGATACAAAAACTATTTCACCAGATGATTTGAACAGTTCCATTTGAAAATAAATGAATTATTTTTAAATAATTGGTGTGATTTTGTAGGGGAGTGAATCTGCATAGGAAATAATAAACAAATTAAAAGTATAGATAAATACAATTAAAGAAAGATACGATTGAAATGTTTCATTTGTATGTTATGTTTTTCAGGTAAATCTAACAGTATTCAGGTACAGAAACTGAACAATCAAATGTAAAATAACAGTCTTCATTGTATAAATTACATATAACCAATATAATTAATTAGCGTAAATAAAACAATTTATCTTTTAAAAATGTGCAAATGATAAACTTTCACTCTCTGATGGTTAAACTTTGCAAGTAATGATATACTTCAGCCCTAATCTGAAGTGTCTCAGCTGAAAGAAATAATTCATTATTTATCAGATTTTAAATATCAGCCAAATGTTTACTCACTTATACCATCTCAGATGCATTTCCTTTCTTCGGAATAACACAGATTTCTAATCCATATAGTCAATATAATGCAAGTGTACAGGTCCTCTAAACCTAACGAGAAACACTTTATTTCTAATTGTCTGATCTTGTCGTGATCTCAACAAACATGTCTGTCCACATGAGAAGACTCGCTCTGTCAAATAAAACCGCTTTAATTTGGACACTCATTTGATATCCTTTAAAAATATTAGTAATTTCTGTAGATCATTTTAATAAGGACAGAATGAAACTAACCTGTTTGTTCCTCAGTATCTTCTTGTTTCACGCTGAACACTTCTTCAATCTTTATGTCTTCACTCTCCTGTTTAATCAACGCCATCTTTATAATAGTGTCACGTGGATCCCAGATGTTTCTCCAGGAGTTTTCCTGTGTGTTTGGACAATTTGTCACGTTTAAAATTAGAATAATTAACAGAAAGAGAAGTAAATCCACAGTAAATCTCTGTGTGTCTCAATCAGCTCTAGTTCAGTAGTTCAGCGCACTGGTGAGGGAGTCAGTCAGAGAGAGAGATAATGGACTTAAATCAACTGACCAGACAAAAAAAAATCACTCAAAATAGGCTAAAATACAAATAATAACAAACACGCCACGCCATATAGGTTAATTTGTAGATGTTACATGATCACATCGTTATGAAAATATTTGCTATTTCTTCATAAAAGTTGTCATTATTAATTATATTTGTGCTTTCGCTGTTTTTTTTTTTTTTACATTTTTTAATTCTTACTTTATATCACACAATTCTGACTTCATAGCTCTCAATTCTGAGAAATAAAGTCAGAATTAGATGTAAACTCGCAATTGTGAGAAAAAAAAGGCCGAATTGTGAGATTTAAAAGTCGCAACCTTTTTTTATTTTTCATTCTGTGGTGGAAACAAGCTTCCAAAAAAAAAAAAAAAACGAATTCGTGTTTTCGATAAAACTAATAAAGTTACAAGATTAGGCGCGAAATGAGACGCAACTATTGTATTACTCACATTTGAATAAGCTACTCACACAACAAACGCAATATTGTTACATTAAACATATTACAAAGAAATATTCACTAATACATGGTCACATACCTCTTGTAAAAAAGATCAAATCGATGGTATCGATGATTTAAACACGTCAAAATGCATAAAACCACCAATCTTTCTTCAGTCTAATCACAACAGCTTCAGGAGCACGGCGCAGGTTTATGATGTCATATGGCCATGACAAAATAAAAGTCCCGTTCAATCTGCTGTCCAATATCCAAGGTCCATAGATATATTTAATTTAATAAATGTCTGGGAATTCATGGTGAAATATATATTTGAGTACATGTTGTACAGTTATGTGATGAACAAGATTAAGAATTACTAATAACTTGTTAAAAAGGATTCATTCGTTCTTAAAGCACAGTTCATGTGTCAGCATTGGAATCCATCTTCCACAAGAATCAGTAAATTAAATAACAAAAAATGCAATAAAAATGTTAAGGGTAATACTAATACTAAAAAAAGTATTGACAAAAATACTGTACCCCGCTGATCGTTGCGGTTCCCCGTGTTTGTCTTTTCTAGTGTTATATAATAAACATATTCTTTTACAACATATTGTCTTTGAGTGTGACAGCAAATGTCCATTCTGTTAAGCATTACAATGACTTCATAAAGTCAGCAATAAATAAAGTGTCAATGAAAATGTATTGATGTCAAAAGTTTTTAAAAAATCTTTAAAAACACTAAGTACAATTCATACACGTGGTCTTTTGCCTTAATAAAGGCTTAATTGGATTGATAAACCTTGTTTATTTTATAATAATAAAATGTTAGTTTATGATAAAGTTTATTATACTTCATTTTGTCTTTTATTTAGACAGAGGCTAGGTTCAGCCCTAACAAAAAAGTTGCAAAACTTTTTTAAATCGAAACGGTGGTGCGTTGAACACCCTGTTCTGATGCCGCAAGAGTTGCAATTATGGCAGCTGTATGTTTAATAGGTAGTTGTGACATTTGTTTGTGATTTTAGTTTGAATTTATTGTGCTATTGTTAATCGCTATTTGCTGAGATGGTCAGTTTAGCAGCACATCTCAATTCTCACGAGTCACAATGATGCGTTCTGTGTCTTCGCGTCCTTCCCAGTTCGATCTTTTAAGGTCGCTTGCAAGGATTTCCAGTCAAGATTTAGACCAGAAACGAGACTTCCTTAGATTTCCACGACGCATGCGCGAGAATTGCGATCTGCTTACACTACTTCAGATCGCAATTCTCGCGCATGCGTCGTGGAAATCTAAGGAAGTCTCGTTTCTGGCCTACAAGGAAGAAAAGAAATAGTCGAATAAACTCGTTATTTTTTCGCACAAAATGTGGCAATTAAAGGTTCTCTAAGCGATGTCGGGTGATGTGACTTCTTGTAGACGTTTAAAGTATTTTCAAACAAAAGGCTAGATAGACCCTCCCTCCTCCTCATCCGCGCACTGACCCCCCAAATCCCACCCCCAGGGCCTTCTTGTCAGTTATTGGCTGGAACAGTTTGTTATGTTTCGTGGACGGGTCGCAGCAGATTTTCTTTGTTGCTATTTGTGGAGCCTGGGCTGTCTGCATAGACCGCGTTTTTTTACAGTGAACGTTCACATGTGATCAGTGTGGAAAGAGTTTCACATGTAAAGTAACCCTTAATGCGATGTCACACGTTTTTTAGGCCAAAACATTTGTCACATACAGCAAACATCTCCTCACTATCCGCTAGGTGCACGTCCCCTAAACATGATAATATGAAACCTAAGATTTACAAATGTTTTTTTATTTTTATTTATTTAACCCTTATTTAACCAGGGAAATCCGTTAAGTACAAGTCTCTTTTGCGAAGGAGCCCTGGCCAAGAAGGCCGCAGTAAAGGTTCCACATAAAATACAAAAGAAAAATAAAAACAATAAACATACAGGACATAGTAAGTACATTAACAATTACAATGCTTAAAAAGTAAAATACAATGACCTTACAACAGTTAAAAATACTATGCAACAAATTAAAATATTATACACTTATCCTAGCTTGGGAAGCAGGGACAGGTGCCCATTGTGGCTGTTTCCTGAAACTTTACTAGCCTCTTAAAGTGACCAAAGGAGACCAAGTTATCAAGTTTTAAGTCATTCTGTAATAGGTTCCACGCTGATGGGGCAGAGATTCTGAATGCCTGCTTCCCTAACTCTGTTCGAGCCCTAGGCACAATCATGTGGAGATAATCATTGGACCGCAGGGAGCGAGTGCTGGCCTTGAAGGATATAAGCCTACATAAATAAGGGGCCAATGTCCCAATAATGGATCTGGAAATGGAAAAGTTGTAAAGCTTTTCTCCAGTGTGAACTACCATGTGGACTTTAAGGGTTTGGCTTGCCTTTGACTGAAACTTTTTCCACACTGCTCACAGGTGAAAGGACATTTGTCCACCAAAGCGCTTTTCCACGCGCCTGGCGTATGTTTTCAATTGATTTCAATGGGAGCGCCGCGTTTTTTAAACGCCATGAGCGTACCGAGGCGCTGAGCGGTTTTTTTTTTCACGCTGAAGCGCCGAGCGCCCAGCGTTTTTACTGGTCGCTGGGAGTTGAAAAATTTTCAACTTTGGATAAAACGCAGCGCTCATCACTGGCACATTTTACCCAGCCGTCCAAACAGTGGAGGAGGGGTGGGACTAATACCACACCGACCAACTGTCAACATTCAAACTGCTGTATATATTCTGTATCATAGCAACGAAACATCTCAACAGAAAAAACGCTGCGCTGCCAAAACGCTCTCAAGCGCCCAAAGCACGGCGTTTTCAGCAGAGCGTCTAGCGTTTTCAGCTGGCTAACAACGCTTTGGTGGACACACGGCCAAAGGCTTCTCTCCAGTATGAGCTCTCATGTGGACATTAAGTTTTTGTTTTTGAGTGAAACCCTTTCCACACTGTTGGCAGTTGAAAGGCTTTTCTCCAGTGTGAACTACCATGTGGCCTCTAAGTAATTTTTTTTCTGAAAAACTCTTTTCACAATGAGAGCAAGTAAAAGGCTTTTCTCCAGTGTGAACTCTCATGTGGGCTTTAAGGTTTTGGCGTTGACTGAAACTTTTTCCACACTGTTGGCAGGTGAAAGGCTTTTCTCCAGTGTGAACTTTCATGTGGGATATAAGGATGCGTTTATAAGCAAAACTCTTTTCACACTGAGAGCAAGTATAAGGCTTTGCTCCAGTGTGAGCTCTCAGGTGGGCTTTAAGGTATTCTTTCTGAGTATAACTCTTTCCACACTGTTGGCATGTGAAAGGCTTTTCTCCAGTGTGAACTCTCACATGGGCTTTAAGGTTTTGGCTTTGACCGAAACTTTTTCCACAGTGTTGGCAGGTGAAAGGCTTTTCTCCAGTGTGAACTCTCATGTGGGATTTAAGGATGCGTTGATAAGCAAAACTCTTTTCACAATGAGAGCAAGTATAAGGCTTTTCTCCAGTGTGAACTCTCAGGTGGGCTTTAAGGTATTGTTTCTGAGTATAACTCTTTCCACACTGTTGGCATGTGAAAAGCTTCTCTCCAGAGTGAAATACCATGTGGGACTCAAGGCTTTGTTTTCGATTGAAACTTTTTCCACATTCAAGGCAAGGGAAATAACTGTTCGGTTCGGTCTTCTGAGTTTTTTCCATCTCTGTTGATTTCTCTTCAGTCTTGAAATCATGATGTTCATCTTTCAGTATATTCAGGTCTTGACTTTCCTCTTTCAGCGACATCAGGTCTAAAGCGAAAAACAACAAATACAAGTTAACAACAGATTAATGGCAACACACAGTTGTGGCAGTAAACTCTCCCGGATGGGTGAATTGGGACTCAGTAGCCTGTTTTGTGCATACACTTCAGCTGGTGGTTAAAGACAGTTTTAATGTGTTTGTGCTTCGGGTTATCATTACAGCAGGGCAGCTTGTCAGGCACTTCAACCACAGCAAAACAAGAACAAAAGCAATTTACGAAATTACAGCTAATTCAATTGTGCAAAACATGATGAAGACATCTGCGGAAAGTCGGCCCCCCACCCTAACGCAAAACGTCATCAAAATATACTTAATCGTTTGTGCTGTAAAAGGTTGTGTCTGTGCTGCTTGTTTTTGAGATATTAAAAGAATATTTTGAGGTCACTCAGCCCCCCACATGATCCAAATTCACCCTAAATAGTCTTGTTCATTTGTGCTCCGTTTGTACTGGTAAAATTTTCGTTTGTGCTGCGTCGGGTTATAAAATATCAGACATTGAATTATAGACAATGACGTCACCAGCCCCCCCACATGCTCCAAATTTACCCCAAATAGACGTTTGTGCTCAAAATAAGTTTTGTTTGTGCTCCGTCAGGTTTTAAAATATTATCACAATATTCACTTCTGTTACTTATCCTGTGAGTTTTCAACTTTTAACGGACACTGCGGATCGCAGGATGTGTGGAACGGAATGTAACACGAAAATTTCAAGGTAAGTGTTTTTATGTTGTTTTATTAGTAGCCTAACATAATATGAACATTGTCATAAATGCACCATAATCTGTTTTGCTGTGTTTATACAAGGGGTGTGTGTATTCTTTTTTCTTTTTTTAAAGGTCTCTTAAACTCACCAAAGCTGATTTTTTTTATATATGAGACACTGATATTGTGAATAGCCGACTATTTTCTGTTTTAATCGAATTAAAATGTAATTTAGTCCTGTGATTTCAAAGCTGAATTTTCTGTAGCTATCATTACATGACTACGCGTCCCGGACGAGCCCCCAATTTTCACTGTTACGTCCCAGATGTAAAGTTGTCTAGGTAGACAGTGAAAATAAATAAAATAAACATGCCTGTTCCCTTTCCTGTTCCCAGCCCTGTACGAAAGACGCATCAAATTGCAGTTCAAAAATGTATTATGCAAAGATGTGACAAAATTAAACAAAGTAAACAAACCTCAGGAGGGGGTTTGTTTACCTCAAGTACCCTCTGTCTAGTTGGGGAGTAAAACTTCTTAGTCTGCCAAAAGTAAACAAATAAACAACAGAAAATTACACCAACTCCCTAACTAGCCAAAAACAGGAGAAAAGGCGGTACATAAATAAAATAGGCACCCACCTTCCTACAGCTGCCAGACCGTTTGGTATACAAAAATTAAAGACTTTAACATGTTAATGTGGCAAACTCTACACTTTTTCCTACGATCTGGAGTAGAAATTACATAGTCGGTCTCACTCAACTTTTTCTCAACGGGACCAGCAAACCTAGCATGTATTGCCGAGGAAGGGACAGGAAGTAAGACGAGCACTTGATCACCTGGCTCAAAAACTGCGCTTGGTAGTCTTCTTATCAAACCGTGTCTTCATTTTGGATTGGGTACACGAGAGATGAGCTTTAGCAATGTCACACACTTATGCATTCGTTCATAAAAGTAACTGACGTAAACCAAGAGGTACGTCGCTTGTTACATTCCGTGGTTGTTATGGCAGTGCTGGGGTTTTGTGTTTGTTTTCTCTTTTCTCTCTCTCTCTGTAACTATGCGGCTCTACTAGGTGGGGAAGTGAGAGAGATGATTGATCGCACCCGCTGCTCGTTGTATTGGAGACGCTACTCACTCAAAAGAGGCTTCGGAGGACATTCAGACTGAAGCCTGCCTTCCAGAGTGTTGTGATTGAGATC